GGGGAGGGGAGGGGAGGGGAGGGAAGGGGAGGGAAGGGAAGGGCTGAAAAAAATTGTAATACTTATTAAAGATAAATAAATGCCAGAATCCTGGCTAAGATGTGTAAAGAGTATTTCTTTACCAAGTCTTCCTATTAATAGCTGCTGTCTCTTCTCCATACCAACAACAGAATCACAGAATCACCAAACGACAGGGATTAGAGGGAACCTGGGAAGCTCCTCGAGTCCAATCCCCTGCCTGAGCAGGAACTCCTAGATTAGGTCACACGGGAACTCATGCAGGCAGGTTTTGAATAATGCCTCCAGAGAAGGAGACCCCACAACCTCTCTGGGCAACCTGTTCCAGTGCTCCATCACCCTTACCATAAACAAGTTCTTGTGCATGTTAGTACCAATCTTCCTATGTACAAGGTTTAGGCCGTTACTCCTTGTGCTCTTGCTACACACCATCGAGAAGAGCCTGTCCTCACCCATTTGCCTCCCACCTTCCTTTAGATAGCTATAAATATTTACCACATCGCCTCTCAGTGTCCTTTTCCCCAGGCTGAACGGAGCGCGGTTACTCAGCCTTTCCTCACACGGGAGGCCCCCACTCATCCTTGTGGTCGTCCTCTGCTGGACTCCTTCTAGGAGGTCCCTGTCTTTTAACTTAACTTAATTGAGGTGCCCAGAACTGGGCGCAGCAGTGTAAATGTAGCCTCACCAGTGCAGAGCAGAGGGGGAGGATCACCTCCCTCGACGTGCTGGCCAAGCTCTTTTGATGCCAACATGCAGTCGGGCGATTCCACATGGGCCATTTTAATTTTCTGTCAGTTTCCAAGAAACTTGTTACAGAGACTGGTATTTTCAGGGACTGCTACTTGCTTGCATCCTGTGCAAGAAGGTGGTATTAGTGCCTAATTCACCTAGGCAGCTAGACACAGAATTTGATTTTAATAAAACAGACCTTCAATCTTCTCAGTTTCAGGCACCCTGGTCTGCTTGAGATGCAGATGTCACACATTCTCCAAAGAGATCACAAAGGAGAAAATGGTCTTTTGCCCACGCTTCAATCATTCAGCTTTTCAGTACACGTGGAACCTGGATTCCAGAGCCTCTTTACACACATGTACCTCCAGAGGCATGTGTGGCAGAGAGTGGCAAGATATCAGCTTCTACTTTGTGCGAGAAGAGTCTGCTTCCTTCTCCATTCCTGGGGAGGCGGGCAGCCTCCAACCATTTTGCTGAAGTCTGAAGAACATGAAGGGACTTGCAAAAAAGATTTATATTTCTCCATTGTGTCATGTAAGAATGAGCCTTACTGTGAGGCCACTAAACCGTCCTGTCTACTGGAAAATGAACATGGTTGTTTCAAGGCTCTGCGCAGTAAAGAAGGGCTGTGACCCAGCAGGAACTTGTCTGCTCCTGAAGGTCAGTACAGAGTGTGAAAATTTCTTTACTTTTTTCATTACCACTTGGTAATATCATCTCTATGTGATGCATATTAAATGCCTATGAAAAAAAAGTGGATCATTCCTAAACAGTGATTTGTGTGACTTAAAGACACTGATGACAAAGAGGATATTTTGCATATTGTATCAGCAATTAAAATATTCCTCAAAGATGTGACTCCACTTAAAATTTAGCTCCATGAAGACAGGAAAAAAACCTCCTCATTCTTCTAATTGTTTTTTAATAAATTTACTATCTACACATTAAGTAAGAAGTTAAAATCACATCACCAGAAGTAGTAGCATCCTCTTCAACACTGCTTTGTGTTCTTGTGAAGTAGAAATGCAACAGACAACTTAAGAACAGCCTTGAAAAGAGCTTTAAGGAATGAAAGCATACAGAATTTTTAAAAAAGCTAGACACATATTTTAATGCCTCAGAAGCCCTAACCTTGAGTGTTAAAATATAGTAGTGCTATATTCAAAGCACGTATTAGAATCTAATTCATAAAAAGTGTGCTCTGCATCTTGCACCTGTCAGTTGCCGTTTGCATTGCTGCACTAAGTTCAAGGTACAGGTTTTTAATTTACGTTTTCCTTTTTTTTATAATGAAAAGATTAAAAATACACTACTAGCAAGGCAAGAGTTGAAAATAGGGCTAAATCCAGAATACTCAAAATATCCATTCTCAGGTGTCTTCTGGGCATAGACCAGGAACTAATAGAACATTGTCCACTCCAATTTCTCCAGTTTTGCCCTTCCCACGTTCTGATTCAAAGGTGATCTGTCACAAGAAAAGAGATGCATTAACAGTGAAAATGTAGTTTATCCAACCATTTAGTGACTCTTAAACAGTTTTAATGCTATATCTGAGGAATGTTTAATTGTAATTCATGAAAGACTTAATGACTCAAATCCCTGCAGCTTTTAGAATGTTTATATATTATTTAACTGGACTGATAATCCTCTGTACAGATTTACAATACCAAATGGATTCATTTAATAAGATTGCTTATTTTCACCGTACAAAGAAAATGCAAATGGAGTGAAATCCCATTATAATAATGTGGCATTATTACTTTATGAGACGTTAGTGCCCTCTTTTTTTGGAGACATTACAATTGTTCATTTTCCACCTATTTGGACCCTTAGTATTAGGTTATATAGCTGGTAAATACATCTATTTCAATCTGTATATATAGTAGGCTATCCATTATAATTGCAGTCACACACACAGTAAATTCATTTTTATCAATAGAGTGTCTGGGGTTTTATTTTATAGACTGACTCTTATTTACGTAAGACTTCCTCCATGTCTTTCTGTCAGTGCAAAAAACTTCAAAAAGGACTTCAATTTCCTTTATGCTTCCAGTACTCAATGGTAAACATAACCCTTTGCCCTGCATTGAAAATATTCAGTCATATAAATGAAAATCAGGCTCTAGAATTTCAAGAAGAAACTTGCTGAAGTCTCTACTGAGGCAGTTTTCAGAGAAGTATCAGGGCACAGTGTTCTCTGCTGGCAAACATACCCTGTACCTACGGTGACTGCCCAACCTTGATTATAAATGAGGTCTCTTTTTGCACTAATAATCTGTGTGAGTATGGCTTCAGAGCATCATCTTCTATGAAACAGAGATGATTTTCATTTTTCCAAGCACACATTTATGCCTTCTGTTGCATGAAATAATAAACAGAGATTCTGGTAGTTTGTGATAATTAGAGATCTGACGAAGTTTTTACAAAATGATGGGATTATTTGGCATCAGTGTCCTAGCAAACTGGAGTCATTCAGTTATGAAATTACAATCATACAACTTCTCAGCCTTCTAAAATCTATACTCTTCCATTTCCAAACAGCCTTTCAGTTGCAAGCATACGATGCCTGTAAAAGAGCTGGTGGAACACTGGAGGATTAGGAAAAAACCTCTTGTGTTGGCTATAGCAGTTAGGTTACACACTGCATTAGACTTACACTGTTAGTTGTTTCAGTACCCTGCCATATTTCCACTTTTCCAGTTCGCCACCTTTCATCTTTTCCCTTGTCCTGCTCCCAGACAGGAGCAGTTCTTTGGTTGGCCATGAACACTCGAAGTTTTCCCACTCTTTCGCCAGCGAGCCGATAACTGAAAATCAAGCAGTAGGTGCTCGTTGGTTTGAGGTCAGTCAGGAGAAGTTTTAAGCGGCCCATATCCTTCTTGTGACCCACAAAGGCTGGAACAGCCATGTAGTATCCATCACCTTGTAACAAAAAATGGAAAATGAAACTTGAATGGACCTGTACTACTTGTTAGTAAATTGAAAGCAATTTTGCCAAGAAAATAAGGAGAAGCTCTGTTACTTGAATAATTTAAAATCAGACTGGAGAAAAGCAGCAGGAAGTCTAATGTTCAAGGAATAAGCTTTCTCTATTGGAAGTCAGATCCCTTCAGAAAGGAAATGAGTTCATATTTCACTGGCAATCACAGTCATTCTTCCTTGCATTGCAATTTTCTGTACATTTGAAAGGCAAAATCATCTCAAATGCAATAGCCTGAAACATGGTGCTGTGCCCCTCTGGTCAGACCATTTCCAGCACTTGATCTAGCTCAATACGCTCTGCAATTTCCTCTGCAGTGATGACAAAGGATACCAGTGATGATAAAGGAACCAGCAGTTTATTCCTTAAATCCTGGAGGAACAACAAAATGAGAGATGACACACAAAGGGATGAAGCAATAAAAGAAGTGAGTCCATAAATAGACGTAATTAGCAGACCTGTGGTTGTGAACATGAAGTAAGGCCATGGTAAGGGCTTCCTGAAAGCCGCAGGAAAGAGAAAGGTACTGGGAAAAGGAAATACAAGGAGCAGGAGAGGAAGGATTAGCAAAGAAAGACTGAGATGGAAAGACTCTGAAAGAAGAGAGAGAGAATGTGCATGTCGGGACTGGAACAAGTGCTCTACATTATCCACTGGGTCTACTGGAACATTTTCTGCAATGTTTCCTCACAAAGGAAGATCATAGAATCACAGAATGGTTTGGCTTGGAAGAGACCATTGAAGATCCTCTCGTTCCAACCTCCATACCGTGGGAAAGACATCTTTGACTACATCAGCTGTGGATGGGGCATCCACAGCTTCTCTGGGCAGCCTGTGCCAGTGCCTCACCAACTCATCATGAAAAATGTCTTGCTTAGATCCAATCTAAACATTTCAGTTTAAATTCACTGTGTCTTGTCCTATCACTATACTCCCTGATAAGAAGGCCTCCTCATCTTTTTTGCAGTCCCCCTTCTAAGGACTGAAAGGCTGCCATGAAATCTCCCCACAGCCTTCTCCAGGCTGAACAACTTGGTACAGTTTCCATTTGGACACTGAAGTGCTGTCTGCAACTCTTCAGACACAGGCATACAGCCAATTCTTCGGCCATCTAACAGCCCATCTATCAAACTTATATCCCTCCAATTGACTGGTAGGAGTGTTGTCAGGGACTGTGTCAAAGGCCAAGCAGGAGTAGATGACATCACCACTCCATTGGAGAAGGCCAGGCACAGTTATCACAGTGCTATGTCTAAACCATGTGAGCGACACCATTCCTGCACCCATCTAAATGGTAGATGTGCTTAAATATCCTACCAGCCTTGGAGAGACACAATATGTAACTAATAAGGTTTCAATTGTTTTGCAACTTGCAATTCTTAACAATTACATTCAAATCCTTCTGCTCACCTTTTGATTCATTTGTACTGAAATATACTGCTAACTAGCAATTGCCACTGGAAAAGCAACTTCCACTCTCAGCCTTCTCTGCTGCCTTAATTAATTCTTGATCCTATTTTCTTCTTCACTTTCCCCTTTTTTTGGAGAGGATAAGACATCACAGCTGAGCAAGGGGATAGGTATTGAAATAAATACCTCTGTCTCGATCAGCAGGATTCCAGTCAAAGTCATCATTAGTATCTTGTTTCCAGTCGCAGACTCCTCGACTGAAACTGCAGTCAACTAGGAAACAAATTGGCAATAGAAACACACAGATAAGAGAAGCGTTGCATCTTAAGTACTGATACAAACAATTTGCTCTTTATTCACCTACTTGTAAGTGTACAGATCGTGCTAAAACTATCCCCAATTTCAATTCAGACAGCGTTGACCTAGATTAATTTCCAAAAGAAGCAAAACATCCCAATTTATTTAGCAACTCTTTCCTTAGCTCACAGCAAAACCTATTGTGTCTTTTCACTGCCAGTCTCCCATGTGCACATGATTTTATATGCTATGACTTCTGCCTCCTGCATGCCTGCTGGTTTCCAGGTGCAGTTTGAGATGCTGGTTTTTAATTTGAACATCATAAATGGTTTGGGGACTGCAAATTTTCAAGCTCTGCTCTTCTCCACATGTGCAACTACACTGCTGTAGCTGCATCAGCTGAGATGCTCAAGCTTTCCTTCTTGCCATTAAAAAAAAGAAGCTGGCTTCCCATGAGAGGAATCTGTTGCCTCACACTGAATACTCATACTATATGGAGCTGGGAGCAACCCAAATATGTCGACCTTTAGAGCACACTGCAAAAAAAAGCGTCATCCAGAGCATACCACAGCCTTCATGGCTGTGTAAATGAAAATGTAAATACAATTATGCATAAGCAAAAAAAAGAAGAACCAAGCAATGTTAGCATGACAAATCAGATTCATATGTCAGCCATCTGAATTTCCTTAGAAAGAATAATTCCTTTTGGTTCTTCGCGTGGATTTTATCATGAGACAGAGAAGTGTGGTATACAGCATTTAAAGAGCGTTTTTATATAAATCCAAGTCTTGTTTCCAAACCTACTGCTCTCTGAATTGGAGAAGAAAAAACATCATCTCACACAGAATGTCAGCCATCACATTTGCATTTTTTTTGAAGTCTAGGAAGCACTTCCCCATTGCTTTCAATTGAAACCAACCTTGTCCTAAAATGAATCTCAGATACAGTGAATCCCAACGTTTCATGCCCTGCTCACTTAGCTGTTAACTCCACAGAAGAACGCTGCTGTCCTATAAGTGCATTAGCTCACCGTTTCCCCTCTAGGATTCTGCTTTTTTCCTTGGCTCTCATGATTCTCCGAAGCCATTTTTCAGCTTCTTGCTATCTTTGCCCATCTCATAAAGGCCGCACAACTTAAAATCAAGTTGCATCACAGAGAAACTTGTTTCCCACCAGCAGAGAGGGTGAAAGTGCCCCCTGACCTGCTCACACACTCTGCTTTGACCTGAGATACGCTGCGGTTTGTCATAGTTACCAGAAGGCAGTGCAGTTTTCTGTGTGGAAATGTATGAAGTGGTTTCCTAGGTCATGGCCAAAGTTTAACTTGTATGCATAAATTGACCAGTTTTGAGCCTTGTATGCTGGCAACTGATTTTGCAACAATTTTAATGTTAAAAAAAAAAAAAGAATCATCTTACTTTGATACCCACAGAATTTACTGATGAACTGGGAGCTATCATGAATTTATAGACAGGTTGTTAAAGGATAAATATTTATTCAGTTATTTTCAAGGGAAACTGAAATCAGGACAAGACCCAATAAAAATGGCTGAAGGGCACTGGGATATGGTTGCACGCTATACAACATTTCTCTAAAATGGTTTAATTTTAGAGATGACCAATATGAGCTCATTTTTTCCTGAAAAAAATATGTGAAATTCACTTGCAAATTAAATTTCCATGTGGGGAAAGAGCTAACATATGTTAGCTAACATATGTTTTGAAAAGAACACAAAAAAGAACACAAAACACAAAACGAAGGTTCTCACATTCGAACTGGCGAAATGATTTGGCCATATGCCATCTCACTAAACTTCTGTTGTATGTCAAAGACCTCTAACTGCTTCAGCTAAGGCTGATACAGGTTCTCAATAAAACACACAATATGAGATAAAATAAATATTACAGAATAAAAAGAATCTACCTTCATGCTCTTGTCTTTTCATCGCAACTTTTCTTTGTGCCAGGAGAGGGCCAAAGGCAGCTGCTTCTTTACCCTGGGGAACTGGTGAAAACAACTTGTCAAGGGCCAAATCATAACAAGAACAGAAAGCAGAACTTTATTTCTCTATACCAATTACAATCATTCATTTAAGTAATTCAATGTATGTGTTTTTCAAATTTCCATCAAATTTACTTTCCTAACCCTGGCTAGAGACTAACTCTGAATAATTGTGAATTCCCTCAGCACAGTGCCTTCTAAGATGTAGGTAATTCAGCTGCAAGGTCCACAAAATCAAAGAACTTTGCATGTGCTCTTTCTTCACCACGACAATCTGTTCTCTTGCTTACAAAATTTCAGCTACCAGTTGAAGTACTTCAACTGCAAGAGATGATGAAGGCAATGATGTGAACACTTGGCAGCAAACAGGAAACTCAAAACATGGATAATGTGTGAGGTTTTGTAAAAGCCATAAATCTGGGGAATCAGAGGCCCATAAACTGCTGTAGTGAGAGCTCCAGGAGATTATTTTTCTGAAGCTGTACTTTCTTCTAAGGCATATGCAGGCCTCATCAGCTCATGTAGGCACACGCAGACTTCATCAGCTCATCTTCCTGTTGGGAAGGAAAGGCATGGCAATCGCTCTGCTCTTCCTCACCCTCCTTGCCACAGCTAGCAAGCACAGCCTGACAATTCAATCATCAGGCTTGGCAGAAACTCTGTAGAAAGCTCTTTTGTAAAAAATAGTTGACTTGTCCTGTGCCAAACCGGAAGAGTCAGTGAGTCAGCAATAAATGTCAGGTGCATTCTCTACAGTATTGGCCTAAAGAAGTATTGGCTTATGCAAAAAGTGCTATTTTTTAGCAACAGCCTGAGAGAGAAAGGCAAAATGTCTTAGGTCTGACAAACTCTTATTTTCCATGGACTGTCAGCCGGCAGACTAAGTACTTTTGAAGTTCTGTGGTTAAGCTTCTTTTGTATTACTCTAAGTGACAACTAGTGAAGTGCACACTAGAAAAACCAATGGTCTCAAATTCTTTGTGTGGTGTCTGTGTAATTAACTAATCACAAACAAGGTGATGGCCAGAGATGCTTTCACTGGCAGAGGGCTCTATCCTTTGCAAATGCATATGCAGATACCTTCAATATATACATATATACCTATGAAAAAGGAAGAGCTAAAATGCCCCATTTTAGAGGAGAGAGGGAGGATCCTTTGGATTACTGCTTACAAAAAGTGCTTACAAAAGCCCAGCACAAGGAAGTTCACTTTTCAGACACACCACGTGGACAGAAGCACCAAGAAAAGCTCAGGTTTCCTCAGCAGCGCCAGGTGATAGGAGCTATGGAAATCAAAATTACATTTCCCTACTCAGTGCCGCATTAGTCATGCCTTAGGAAGTTGCAGATGCCAAGTATTTTAAAAGTCATGAACTTCATATGTATGCTTCTTGTTTTTTTTCTGAGTTCAGAATCCAGTTTGTTCCACGAGTTCCACTTACCTACAGATTCTCATCAAAATACTCCAACATGCTTGAATTTGTAAGTACATGATCAATATTAAGAACATGTTTACAACCCACTGCAAACCAGTCTCCTCGTACCATAAAGAATATGCCATTTCTTAACTTTTCTTCTCCTTCAAAACTGCCAAAAAATTGTTCTTTATGTACACCAGACAAAACACGCAGCAAGGAAGAGACCCTGGAGGCTGCTCCAAAGGGGCCAGCTGAGCCAAGAAAGGAGACTCCTGCGATCTTACAAGCTTTCTGATGAACTGCCAGGAGCTTGTTCCCTCTTGTTGCCCTTGCAGTTTTTTCCTCCTCACCCAGAACACTGCTTACATCACCTAGATAATATTCTTACTTAAGGCAAAGACTAATATATCTTTCTCCAAATTAATCTATGTCTACATGTATACTTTTAGGAACAGGCACATAGGGTTTAGTCGTTACATTTAATATCATGCCATAAACTTGGCCTCGTATTTTGTGAAAGAGGCTCAGGCTACGAAAACCCTTGCCAAAATGAAGAAAGCTATTAAAATGTCAAAAGTTCTGGAAAGTGTGGAGAAATTTAATAGAAGATAGCAGCTGCCAGGAAGATTTATTTACAGAGTTACTGAATTATACTTGAGGGATACACATGCAGGTGTAACTATGCTGCAAATGCTTCCAGTGAATAACCATCATATACATAAAAAGGTCAAATTTTGTATCCAAATCTATTTTTTGCTTTCAGTGTCAGACGTTACAGCCAGGTTCTCCACTTACTGGAAGATATCACTAGTGAATCATGAGAAACTCTATGCTTCAGCTTACAGAAAGGCTTCCAAGAGCCCTTATTTCTTGGAAGGTGCCTATGTTTGACAGAGCCATCACTCCATCACTGGACATAACCAGAACCCAGAGTCTGTCCCCTCCTAAGTATTAGGCAGGAGTCAGGCTTGTTCTTTTCATCTCTTCTGCTATCCAGTGGTGCTTGCAGAAATACAGGCCTTCCTCAAAAGTCTTAATATCTTGATCCCTGAGAATACAGTCTCCAACAAAAGCTCACATAAGGCCCACTTCTGGTACATCAGAGTTCACCCCTTATTTCTGCAGTATTGGCATCTACAAACCTACGTATCTGCAGCACTAGCTGTTATATTATCTGCAGTTATATATAAAATTCTTTGCTTCAGGGTACTACACATTCTTAAGGGCTGGTGCCATCAGTGTAGTCTTATGAGGTAAGATGTGCTTACCTTATAGGCAGAAATTAGTGACAAAGAGAACTAATACCCTAGTCTTCCGAGGTACCTACGTAACCAAACACAACCAATTCACCAGTTCACCAACTTGGACTACACGGCTTCTTGTTTGGAGCTGGCTTGCACTCAGATTGCTTGGAGTGAGCACAGGTCCACCTGCAAAGTATCATTTATATAGATTCTCAAGTCAGTCTACAAGTTAAATAAGGGATAAAGAGATCGCAAACGCAACAGGAAGTCTGCAGGAGCATCTGAAAAAGATACAATACTAAAAGACTCAAAGTTAAAAAAAAAAAAAACAAAAAACCCACAAACCCAATAAGTAGAATAGATCTGTGGAGTACCATTTTACAGGCATGCCTGTAAAATGCCTCAGAAGTAGAACACCATTGGTAAGTGAATCGTGTGGTAAAGGACCTTACTAAAAACCCTGATAGATTTTCCTTTATGTGCACTTGATTTCACCTTTCTGCTTTGCCAGCTACTGCATTTAAAATTACATAAACTGCATTTTAAACTCCTGGAAATAGCATTTTGTCTGAAAAAATACTGTTTGGTTTATACTTGAACGTTATTTTCTATTTGTCTGCAGTAATCAAGTGCTATCCTTAAAGCTTTAATTTCTTTTTGCATTTCTGTTAGTGGGTCTGTATTTCTTACAAATCACCAGCAGCTTCAGAATGAGCTCTTCCTGAGACAACAGTATTGGAGGAACAGATAAATAGCAGAATACTGGCACCCACACATCTTAAGGAGTTAACTGTGGGGACTGTGGTGTATTTTTGTTTCTTGTTATGACTGTTCAGATTTTCCAATCCCTGGAAAATGCCTATGCTTGTTTTTGCCTAAGTACTCTAATTATTCTACGTACAGAAATAGCATTAGATCTGGGAGAAGCAACTCACTGTCAGTAATTCTCACACATACAATCCCACAGTGTCTAAAACTGCAGCATGTAGGATCTCTCAGAAAAAAGGTTTTTGCTGTCAATCTGACACTGCTCTCTGATGGGCAGAGCTCAATGAAAACTGTGAACAAACAAACAAAAACTCTAAAAAACAACTCCAAAACCACTTCCACTCCCAAAACTAGAGTGAGCACTGTAAAAGAAATCTATCAGCATATAAGAGATAGTAAAATGTAGAGTGGTTTCCTGTACACACCGTAGATCACTGTCAGACTGAAAGGAACATGCTACATTTCTGCTACCCATCCTCCCCTGAAAGAATTACATCTGCCAGATGCCCGACATCTTTGGAGCCCTTTTATCTATAGCTTTGGACTGAGCTGCAGCCTGAGCATTATTTGCTCACACAATGGTCTAATTATCAGAAAAGAATGATATTAAAAGCAAACATCTTGATTAATGGAGAGTTCTCTTGTTCAGAATTAAGAGTCAAGAATGCATAAGGAAAGCAGCCCACTTACATCACTGCTGAAGCCAAAACCTTACCATTGTTGGTGCTGTCAAAAGAAGGAGCTTGGTAGTTAACACAGCTGGCTAGATTACGTTTGGGCTTTACAAATATTAATGTACTAATTTTCATGTGACTTTTAGTGACTCCAGTAGTTGTTTTGCTCACACATCATGGTGTGCATATCCAGAATGATACCTGGGTCTTGACATTTCAATGCCCATTGCATTTCATATCACTGTATAAAAACAGTCCCTACTGAGTCAATAGCTGTAGTTGAGGGTGTTTATCATTTCTGGAAATCAGACCTTAGGATCCCATATCACACAGAAAATAAGGAAAGGAACAAACACAACTCAGAACCTGAAATGACAATTTTTTTCCCCCCTTCCCTGCAGTTCCTGCCTCTTTTTCTGCACATCTGCAACTGCTCTGATCAATAACACACAGCTATGTATATTGAACCACCCCTTGCACTGCAACAGATACTTCCTTCACATTGAACAAGGCAAAGACCTCATGGAAAACACCAATTAAAATCCATTAAAGAATGTATCACAAAGTATAAGAAGAAGAAAAAGTAAGTTTTCACAACTAACAATAATTTTGACATTTCTTCAATGTTAGGGCTTTATTTTTGCTATCTTTAACTACTGCATTAAAAAAAAAAACAAACTGTGATGAGTAGTTTTCATAAACAACCTATTTTACGTGGCCTCTTTTAACAATTTAGATCTTCACATATTAATTCTTTTTTCCCTTCAGCAGTTTTCTGCAGCTGCCCATATGTTGCAGATGTAGTAAAGGTCCTGTGATAGAATAGTGCGTACATTTAAAAATAATAATTAGGATCTCTGAAAAATGTGACCTATCAATTTTTCCTAATTGACTCCTTTTCCTGGAAGACGAACAATACAGATACTAATAACACAAAAGCAGATGCAGAATGAGTACTTCTGGGGACTACACAGAGGAACTTAATGTGGTATTAAGGGAATTGCTGCTGAATAGACATCAGCAGAGGAGGAAGAAAAAAGGATGTGTAAAATTACCAGCTGTAAATGTGAGATACTCTCATACTCCAGAGATCATTCAACAACATTAACAATGAAAGTCGTTTCAAAGCCAAATGTTCGACCAGTTAAGTGGATGAATCCACACGTTAGTACAGTAATGAGGATCAAGAGGCTCAAGGAAATTTAAAAGGGAAGGAAACAGTTAATAAGCACAGCCCAACTTGAAAGAAAAATGTAAATGGAACAACACGTTAAGTCATGCGCGTGGTTGGGATCAAAACAGAAAGTCATAAGTAAAACAAAGTTCATATACTTAATGAAACTACTTCTAGGACACAGTAGTGTCCCCATATAAAGAAGCACATCGATCTCCTTCCAGAGCTCCCTGGCAGAATAACATCTCACCGGCATCTTCAGCAAACAAATCCCTTATATCTCTAATGTCAAATTCCAGCCAAATATGACTAGAACAAAAGAATAGAGGAACAAAATCAGATAAATCACAATGGTCAGTATTTTCAAGCAATAACAGTAAAGCCACCACTGTCAATTGTAACCACTATTTCATAGAAAAAACTGTTTCAAATATCCTGGCTTGGTTGAAAAAAACCTCTAGAAGGAACCCCACCAAACACCATGACAGAATTCTCTTGTGCATTATTTTGATTTCGATTTTGCTGTGGACAAAGGATTTTCCTGATGTGCCTTTAGTGACATTGACAACTTGGAATTGAATCCATTCCACACAGTGTGGCAGTGAGTATTCCAAAAATACTTACAAAAAATATCCAACCATACTCAGGTTTTCAATATCTGGCAATATTTCCTGGACTTTCCAAGCATGTTACATCTGAGTTACTTTCCTCTGCCCACCAATCCATCTATCACAGAAAGGCAGAAAGAGATCCGAGGGCTGACTTTATGATATTTTCATCAGACTGCATTGCCTCAGGAAATGAAATAACCTACAGTCCTTTATGGCACCAAGTTCTGAATAAAAGTATCAGTAACTTATAACAATGTTACTTTTTCATATTTAGTTAATTTAGTTAAGACCTGGGCTTTATTGCTTCTTGTGAGACAATGGAGGTAAATCATCTAATTCTTTTGTCTGAGACTCTCACATGTATTTGGCAGTACCAGTATGGATGAGCCTGGTTCAAGGGTAGCTTGCCATCCAGTCAGCCCCAACTTGACTTCATCTTCTGCCCCTGCTACCTTTTTCAGGGAAATTATTTATGAAGAGATCCTTAGAAGCTGGACAGAAAGCTGCATAAGCTTATCAAGAGTGGAAGGCTGGGTAAAGAGGTAGGGCGTATCTGGTGTGGCTGGCCAGAGCAAGAGTGGAGCCCCGGGTATAGGATCATCAGATTTGGAGTCATGGCACCATCAGCCAGAAACCTTTCACAAAACATGGAGTTGAGTACAGCCTGGCGATTAGGATGCAGGTCTAATCACACTGGATAGCACTATTTTTGGTACTACATTGAAATGCTATGTTGAAAGAACAGAAAAAATCATAGAATTATATAGGCTGACCTGCTGATCAGGAGATTATCTGAGGCCCATCTATCAAATTATGAGTATCTCCAAGGATTCATATTTCACCTGTATTCCTGCACCAAATTTTGGCCGGCTTTGTGGTAATAAAGTATTTTCCTTCTATCATAAAGAGAATATTATACAAGATAGCAATTAAAAGGAAACATATGAAATCCAACTGAGAAAATTAGTCAATCTTCCTGATAAATGACTAGTGTCAGATATTAAGTGAGATACTTGAGATGCATGCTCAAATACCATCAAATGTTTTAAGAGTGAGAGAGTCCATTCAGATAAACTCTCACATCTAAACAAAAGAGATAAAAACCCTCTGTGATTCACAACATTATCTTTCTGGTGGAATGACACAAAAAAACAATGGCATCTATTGTATGCTTTATATTTTGAAACACAAAGGCACCAAAGTGTATGTTTTTCGTATGAATAATACACACTATTTGAGTGATGAGTATGTCTATCACAAATCAAAGATAGTTCTTGTCTTAACCATAATGAAACAGCAAAATATCCTGTTTTGTTGGAGCTTCTGCGAAGAAAATGGGAAAAAGCTATATGTAAGCTGGTGTAGGTCCTTTCCAACCTTGTGATTCTATGATTCCAACAGCTGGAAGAGTGCCTCCCAGGATAACACACTCTTTTCTGTCAACATTGACTGCAGATAGTTTCCTCTAAAAGGGAGAATCACTAGCTCTAATCCTACAGTAGGTCTATTAGCTTGATTTTCAGTTTCTACAAGTAAATTAGGATAGAGCAGCTACAATGTCTGGTGACTATTTTGTTCATATATATACTTAAATTAAAACTAGCATAAAAATCGAGAAACTTACAGAAGACATCTCCTCTAAGGCTTTGCTCATGGTCAATCTGATTCTCATAATCTTCCTTCTCCTCCTCATCAGTCTCATCGACTTCCTCTTCTATGGTGACTTCAGTTCTTTTTTCTCCCCCAATGTAACTCCCACCAAGATCAAAACCGCCTTCATAGTGCAGTGACGGCAAGTGGGTTTTAGAAGCTGGCGTCATGGCTGCTTCTGGGATCACATTCTTGATTGCTTTATGCTTTGCCACGCTGTTTTTATGTGCAAGAAGTTTCTTTATTGTGTCCTTAGCTGTTCCAGGGATTCTTGGAATTTCCTTCACTGATTTTTCAGGAATAGCTAAAAACCAGAAGAAAGTAGTAAATATTCACCTAATGAACCATTCAGCAAACACGTTTATAAATGGCATCACATTGTCCTTGATAATACCCAGACACTCATACAGCTAAATTCTCTACCATGACATTAAGTTCACCTCTGTACTGTACTATGTATGCATTTACCTCTGTTGTACAGACAGCTCTCTGATTCAAAATCGTAGAAGCACCAAACGGTGTGGGTTGATAAAGAGCTTTAAAGAACATTTAGTTCCAGCTCCCATGATCCATTAGGCTGGGCTGCTCATAGCTTCATCCAACCTGGCCTTGAGCACCACCAGGGATGGGGCACAGCAGCTTCCCTGGGCAGCTGCACTAGCACCTCACTGCTCTCATAGTAAAGAATTTACGATGAGTTACAATGAAAACACAAAAGTTCCCTCTCTTACAACATCACTTGGCCTCTTGTGTAACACAGGCTACACAGCTCCTTATAGTCTATATTTATATACAAGAGCTTGGAGGAAAAAAATAACTCCTCGTTTGGTAGACTACTAAAAATTGTCCACAGACATGATACAGCAGAATACATAATACATAATCCATAATACAGCATAATGAAGTCAAATATCCTCTACACTCAGACAGAAAACTTCGAAACACTTAGTGATAAGAGGGTATTTTTTAATTTACTTAGCAGCCATGATTTTCATATTATGCTTTTCTTCTCTATAAACTGCGTCTCAAGACAAAAACATTTTGTTTCTTTTCAAATCCAATTATTCTCTATACGATCATCAAACTATGTTGGGATGCTTGAATGAGGGCCTATTTTTAAAGAATCCCATTTGAAGATACAATTCCATCGATGTAGGGAGCCAGAACTGATTTTCCAGCAGTGATGAAACCCAGAAGCAGTGCAAAGGGCTCCTTTTGGGTGGTCCTGTGTGGAGCCAGGAGTTGAACTCAATGATCACTGTGGGTTTCTTCCAGTTTGGGATATTCTATGATTCACCAATACTTTTTTCCGTATGTTTCTTTTCAAATAAGCAAAGACAAACAGAAGAGAAAACACCACTTAATGAAACAAAGCTGCAGCCTAGTAGGAAAAGATGAAAAATCCCAGAATTTATATTAATTCCTGGATAATATAATCCTGATAAAAGTTAATTGGTCAGATTTTATTTAAAGGAAATGCAGCTACATTTTCTACTTAGTATCCCAGTACAATTTGACTCTTGGTTAATTCACTGGATTGTTCAGAGTTTCTGAGATTCTCTGAAATTGCAATTGGAGGCATAAAACAAATAATTGACAATAAAACATGAAATAAACGAAAACTGAAAATTTTGTTTTTCTTGTCCTTTGAATAAAACTCATAGCCTTGCTTGCCAGATACTTGCAAGTTAATGACACTCCACAAAGCGAGCCTTAACTCTGGAGGATGACATTCTCAAGGTTATATGCGATTTAACTGCTGTGGTTTTCTGAGTCTAACCTCAGAATGCAGCAGTGAAAATTATCAGGAAGAACTCATTCCAAACAAATTTCCTCTTGACAATCAGTAACAAGAAGCTGCAGGCTGTTGATAAACATGCTATGGAAGTTTTCACGCCAGCCCAACTGCTTGGCAACCTGAACACCTGCTTTTAGTTCCTACTTTGAAGTCTTCCCAGTGAAATGAAAAATTCTTACAGCTTAACATAATAATCTCTGTGATGTCAGAAAACCAATCTTCTTGTACGTGCAAAACTAAGCAGTGTAGAAAATCAACTGAGAGGTGTGACAAAATATAGGGACAAAAGCGTATAATCCCCTCATGCTTGCAGACTCCAGTTTGCTGGAAATAAGAAAATCTTCATGTTCATATTTTATATCCTGGACAATGAGGGACCAGACACCAAGCACAGTTCAGGATATATTGTGGGTATCATAATCTGTATTCAGCTAAAGAACAGCCTGAGGTGTGGATTTAAGGCTTTTTATGTCTACCCATAAATTGCAGTAAGAACAGAACAGTCTAAGGATAGGACACATAAAACTCTGTCTGTCCTGCAGAAACCGCAGCACTTGCAGGTTGCTGAGATAACACAGCTGAGGCACAAGTATCTCAAGATCCTTTGTGCCACTATATTTACATAAATAGACAGGTATTTCTCAGACATTTGCACATTTATGCATCTCTGTGACTGCACAGAGAATTTAGAAACTGAAAAGAAATGTAATGCATTTCATCCCAGCTCCTCTTTATGCACCTTCTGATGGGAAGCATGCAGACCAAGACCTCCTGCTCCTATACAGTCTATAAATACAGACTGTATGAAAAATATCTCAGTTTCCAAAGGTATTTCATTTCTTTGAATCAGAAGGAATTACAGTAAGAGGTGGAAAAACAAAGGCAAATGGTGGCTGAGGGCTAGAAATAAATCTTCCAACATCTATTGCTGCGGAGGACTACGAGACCACAGATAGGTGGTATGTCTAATGACTAAGTAGTGAAAGCTGAGCTGGAAAAAATATGGAGAACAGATGCCAACCTCCTGCCTCTGTGCTGTATTGTGTGAAGGGAAATGCTCTGGGGATGGTACAGGAGAGGGTCAGGCAGTAATCTGTTTTCCTCACACACACCTTGTGACTGCAACTGATGTTGAATAGGGCTCTGAGTGCAGGAGGGCTGCAACAGGAGATGGTTTACTCTGCCCACACAGACACTGCAATGCTTTCACCTTGCACCTAGCAACAGATTTGAAAACCTAGTAAGTGATAAGCCTTGAGACTGACTTTCAAGTTTTTTTGTAGCTGTAGCTTCTGTATGTAAAAGTGGGAGAGGGGATGAGCAATACAGACAACCATTTACAAATGGTTTACAAAGAGAGTTGTCGTGGTTTTGTATTGCCATTTAGATATCCAGCAAAGCAAAGCATAATGAAGAACAGAAACCTCTGTCTGCAGCAGGGCATTAAAAAGAGTGCCACTGTCAACATTTTAAGAGCAATGCCTGAAGGATGGAGGCTTTAAGATAGTTCTGCATTTTCCTGTTATTCTGTAGCTTCCTGTAAGTAAAGTGAACTAAAGATAGGTTCGTGTTTCCCCAGGAATCTTAATTGCTTATGGAACCTTCTGGGACCCTAATCTTAAATAAAAGCTGGAATACACATTGAACCATATGGTGAGGGAAATGTGGTTTTTCAATTCACAATAGGAAATCAGGAAACATATGAACCTGAGCAAAGCAACAGATTGCAGCAAGATAGAGGCCAAATGTGGAAATGGCTGGGACCGTTTTAGGGAGCATTGGAAAACTTACACTTCTATAAATTGTTGAATGAAATGTGTGCTAGAGATAGTTCAGAAATAGTGTCCAACATTTCACACTGGATGGATAAAAGGAACAACCTCTGGTCATATTCAAACAAGCAGCATTGACTGCAGCTTATGTCTCAGCATCTTTCTGCTAAGTTGGCATATTGATATATAAATTGCATAAACCCCCAACTTCTGTACAAAGATGAATCTCACATCATCTCACTTATTATGTTATTTGGTAGCAGGAGGAGATACTGTCACAGAAGTTTCATTATGAACAATGTGCTTAGCTCCTCTCATTTCATAGTCTGAAAACTAAGCTATATATTAAAATGTTTTTCATTTGTTATATGCTGCTGCCATGGTAACCAGTTCATTATATACTTCAGACAATTGCTATGAAGAATTGATGGTTCCTTGTGGAAATGGGATTGTAACCCTATGGGAGTAATTATATACAGTACTGAGGGCATATTTGAGAAGCCCTTCTTTTATCTGCAGCAGAACCCCAGGCACATCTGCTGGGAGCTGGAATTGGCTGCAGAAGCTGCAGTCACTGCCACAGCCTCAATCCCCCACATTCTGAGGACAGTGTTCTCAGTCTATCAAATCCAATAGCAAAATCTCCTCTGACTTCAGAGAAGCCAAAGATTTTCCACAAATGTCTTATAACATGGAGAAAACTTTGCATTTCAGTGTATACTGCTATATCTAATTGGTGTTTCTGCCACTGTTTGAATAAACATTTGCCCAAATAAAACTCATCTGGCCCCCCTTTGTTACATTGCTTTTTTTTTTTTTTGACAATTTGAGTATAAATCAACCATTGAAACATTCAAAGTCAGCTTTCTCCCTCAAAGAAAGGCAGTATTTGTGTGGGAAGTACCACGTGAGAATCCAGTCTCTTTTTAGCACTGCTGCTTTTCACGTGTATATACCTCTGATTTTTTTTCTTTCTATTACTGTATTCTTCTTTGTAGTTGGTCCCTGCTTTTTGACCTTCTGCCAATGGCTCTCATTACTGTGTCTTATTCCTCTATCCTCTCCTGCATTACATTTATTTTCTGTTTAGCATGTTCTAAGTTCACAGCTTCTTCCTCTTCTAAATGACAAATGGAATACAATAATTAGAAATAGGACATGAGAAAGTTTGCAGAGAGTGAACAATTTAATAGAAATGCTAGTGGAAAACAAGAAACTGTCCATCTTCAGCAATTTTTTTAAATAGGGCCAGACATTAAAAACTGTGTGATAGCCTTTCCATAAGCAAAATATTTCCTTTGTTCACATTTAAGCAAGCATTCCTCTTGCATTGTTTCTGCTTGAGGAAAGAATAACTAGGGCAAAATGAAATTTTCCTTTGAAAATTTCAGCTTCTCATTAAAAAGGAAAACCAGAATAATGCAAAGATATATTTGCCCAGAGATATATTTGATCAACACTTATTGACGATGTACTTTGTTTTAACAGAACCACGTTAAGATGTGTATTATCAATTTGTCCTGATGTTCACCCAGCTCTCAAGACTCATTGTGTCTTTCTTTCCTAGTCACTTGCAGTGGTAAATCACAAGGGATGCAGTCTAGCAAGCAAACTGGCACATAACTGGAATTTGAGAATGGCAATCCTTCCAAACAACATTGCTGAGGTCCAAATCAAGACTTGCATTATCAGCCAAGTTTTTGTGTATTTAGTTCTCCTCATCAAAAGTCAACATTTTTCACTGGAAGTAGAAATTTAACAGAAAATTAACTTAGGAGTTAAACTTCGTGTTTTTCTTATTTTCCCAAATACAGTTTTAGCCCTACTAAGGCAACTGCTTGCTTTGTGTTTAACATATGTTAACATGCTTCAATTTTACAGTGATAAAGTAACTAAGTTATAATAATAAGTTACAGTGCTAAAATACAGTTAATAAGTTACAGTGCTAAAATAACTTCAGATACTAATAACAGATAGAACCCCCTTCCCTGGGCTTATTGCTCCCTTCACTTTTCATTGGAGTTGGAACCATTGATTTCAAACCAATGCCAATACACAGTGAGTGTATTTAAAATTAAATGCAGAAAGGATTAGGATTGATAAACTCTCATGCAGATAAAGTGTATTCCAAATGCTGCAAGTGTCAACACTGATGCAATACTGGAGGTTTCAACTACCATTATGATGAGAGTAGGAACATGAGTAATAGAGAGACTCATAGGACATCAGAGTTCATGGATAATAATAATACATATCTGATCATGGATTACTTGGGGGGAAAAAAAAAAAAGAGGAAAGAAAAGAAAAAAGAGGAAAGAAAATATATCGTGTAGACTTCATTTTCTATAGAAAAGAGCTTTAAAATTATTTGCACATCTTTTATTAAAAAAATTTGAATATCTCCTGAGGAAAACATCTCTAATAAATAACACTGTGAGTAAAATCTCTGCTAACTCTAGTAAAAATAAGTAGAGTAAGTAAGTAAAGAGATTTATTTAAACATAAAGGGCAGCCTTTTCCATCTTTCTTCTTGAAGGGTCACATGCAGTTAGAAACAGACAATGATATTTTTAAAGAAAGTCTTCAATATTCAATAGACAAAGGGGAAATTATAAGTGGAAATAATTTAGCAGAGGAGTCATGGCTTTCCTCCTTTCTCTCATTTTTTTCTAAGTTGCCTTGAATCTTTTCTGGAAGAAATTTAGTAGCCCTCCAAGAGGCTAGTTGTAAAAAATTAAAAAAAACAGTAATTGTTTAAAGCTATTTTCCCTGTTTCTTCATGATAATTATATAATAAATAAATAAATAAATAAATAAATAAATAAATCTGCTTGACATTTCAAGTGATACTATGGGGAAGGCAAAGTTCACAGGCAAAGTTCATTTGAGCTAATAATACTTGAACTAACTACACAATGACATATAATAAATAAATGATTTTGTGTGGAGATTGGCTTTGGTGGATATTATAGTACTTTTCAGCTTGGTCTTTCCTAGAAAAGTCCTCGTAACCAAAAATTACTGCAGAAAAGGAAGATAGTACTGTTCCTGAGGTACTCACCAGCACAATCAAAGCCATTTCCTTGGTAGCCCTGATTACATTTGCATTTGAAGGATCCCTCTGTGTTGAGGCACTCTGCATGGAGGTTACACCTGTGTGTGGTTGTCACACATTCATTTACATCTAGGGAAAGACAGAAATGCCTTAGAACTGGGCTGATAATCATGCTTCATGATAACCTGCTTGTAGCTGTACTGTAAGCACTAGAGTTAATAGTGCTAAGATGGTCCAGAGGCCATTGGAGGCAGAAGGACTAACGTTAAGAGAATATGCTTAGTTTCAGCTCTAGCCATACAGCTATAGGCTTATGCCAAGCATCCCAGAAGAGTGCTACTGTCTTCTGAATGAGAACAGGATTCAAACTGTAGGTTGTGCACTGTATTCTGCTAACAAAAGGCATTGCAAAATGTTTAATGTCAATGAAAATAATTCACCAAGTCTTCCCCACTCTTTTATTCACTCTAGAAATGAAACTGAAACTAACAAAGGACAGGATCTTGAGATCTTCTCTCTACCTCTAATGTTCGAGGCATACAAATGATGCTGCATGAAAAAGGTACAATTAGACTTTCAGTAGAAAATTCTATGTTTAGCTGACAACAAAAGGTACAAACACAAAGAGTAACAGATTTCGTTCTCCTTTATCACTATTTTGCTACATCACAAACACGTTTCTGACTTCTCCCACATGAGGGAGTCAAGTGATTGTACAAATATTTGAACCATTAGCATTTTACCCAGATTGTTTCATTTTTAGCAGCTGATAGATTCCAGGCAGGTCAAGTAGGACACAAGTAGCAGGAAGACTGACTCAAAAAAACAGAATTTCTGAGAGCAAGATCCAGGTTTCCAGATAAAGTGATAAAATCCTGACAACTGAGACCTCTCAATCTTTCCCCCATACACACATACTGTATAAAAAATTAAGCACTTTTTCCTCTTTAACACTGGAGCTACTTACAATACAAAGCTCTAATTCCAATACCCAGTATCCAAAACCTGCTTTGAGATCTCCCTCCCACCCTAAAGTGCCAATCTCAAGCAAAAAAAAATAAATCAGAAAACACGAATTTGCTTTTGGATGTGTTGTTGTGCTAACTCTTGCTGGCTCTCAGTTAGTGAACTGCAGTGCCCAGTGCAGAACCTTACCCTTTGCCATTCTTTCACCATTAGCTAATGGTCTGAAACAGAAATAAATGTCTTTTGATGTTTGTTTAATTGGGTAGATCAAGATAACAACTTTTCCTCTATTTCTGTTTGTGAGAAACGCCGACATGCAAAAAAGACCTGAAAAGTAATTAAGACCTACTATTTTATACATTTTTATTTTTTTTTTAGGTTCTGTACTATCCATCCAAACAACTATTTCTACTGTTGTGAACTGTCTTGATTCACACTGCTCATTAACTACACACAGAAAATAAAATAGAAAAAGATTGTGAGACTGTTTAGTCATCAAAGGTTGAAAGTCAAAAGAACAAGCTCTTTGACTACAGTTATACCAAAACTAGCGCTTTCTTGGAGTTCATCAACTGTTGTTAACGTACAACACCCTTTTGTACATCATTTGCAAAAGTTTAAAGATGACTTGGTACAAGGAGGCAATGTAATTTCCAAGTACCAGTGATCAAGTTTTTAATAAGGCCACAGAGAAAACCGAGAACAAAAGCTCCAAAAGTCATAAAAAATATTCTTAGTGACATTTCTAAGGTAGCATCTCTAGACAAGGCCAATGTACTTCAGACAATGATGGAAAGTTGCATTATGTGGGAATGAAAAAAAGATAAAAATGGAGAAATAAATTACATGGGCTAAGTCTTACCTACACAGTCATAATGGCCACTGATGTATTTCAGTTCATAACCAAGCTGGCACTTGCAGTAGTAGCTTCCAAATGTGTTGACACATCTGCGATTGAAAGAGCAGACAGCTCTGCCAGTGGAGCATTCATCAATATCTAGAGCAGGAATAGGGATGCTGGTCAGATCCAAAAGAAATTAAAACGGTCAAGCGGGATCATGTTTGGTCTTGGCTATCACACAGCATTCAATAAATAAGTCCTATAATGAATACACTTGGGAATGGCTTTTGCATGTCTAAATATGAATGAAACAGTAAAACGTCCACTAACTTAATGGAAGATTTTGAGACTTGACAAGCAAAAGCCATACTGACTGTACGGGCTCTCCACTGAGGTCAACGATTTCCCATAAGGTCACAAAATAGGAGAGGGAGGGACTCCTGAAACATCAGGGAATAGTTTAAGAGAGGGCCTCAGAAACAGGAAACAGAGCAGCAAGGAGTGGGGGCAGCAGCTCTTTCAGCTGAATCTTCGCACCGTCCCTTGCTGGGCCAAGTCATGGCAGAGACTGCAGACTGCAAGTGTCTGCCCAGCAGGAGGTAACAGTGGCAGATGTTCTGGACTAATAAGGCAACTTGGTATGGGAGGAAATGAACACTGTTAAATAGTCACTGTAATTAAATGTTATCAATTTAATTCATGAATAATGCAGCTTCTTAGGAGGATTCAGCTAAGACAAATAGCCATGGATCTTCAAACATTTACCTATTTATAACATTTCTGTAACTAATACTCAAGTATTAAGAGTATCTTAGAATCTTTTTCACATCCAGTATGCTATACAGCAGGAAGTCGCTCTCTCATTTTAGAGATAGAGGACACGTGATAGAAAAGAGTGAGCAAACACAAGTTGTATAGCCAGAAGGGGCATGCTATTTCTAACCACTGGATACACCTTTTTGTGTGTTTTACATTCTATCAATATGTACCAGTGATCTTCCAAATCCATTTGGGTAAGCAAGGTAAATGCAAATAGACTCAATACAAGAAAATAAAAATAACTGCCTGAATAATTCAGGAAGAGAACCACTTCTTGATTCTATTTAATAACATATTTCAACAGTGTTCACCTTCAAGTAGCTCTTAAACAATTCAAACAAAAATTAACTTGCTTGCTGTTAGTCAGAGAGCCTTGCTGATTCTTCAAAGCTGAATATTTCCAATTACAAATTCATTTCACTTAAAAGAGAGAAATAATGTTCTCATGTTGGAGTGTTCACAGTTTAGAAATTAAGCAAAATATCCATATGGGCTTACTCTGTAATTCCTAAAAATGAAAAAACAGCCTCACGCTATATGACATTCATACTTGACTTGATACTATAGCTGTACATTAAGGAGAATAATTCATATAGTAACTGTCCTTGTATGCAGCACTGCCTCTTGGATGATGCATTAATTTGTTTGAAATGTTAAGCATAATATTGTTTTGGCCATTAGAGCTGAAATTCATTTCTATATCTGACACGTCAAACTCCTCAACATTTAAAATATTTTTACCAATTTTATATATTTTTTACCAATTATATATTACCAATACAGTAAGAGATACCATTGGAGATTACCAATACATTGTTAGAGAAATACCATACTGCAATGTGAAATCAGGTACATTGTTAAAGACATGGTACTGACTAGAACTCATTGCAAAAACTTGTTTATATTTTGGGCAACTCTAGAAAATGAAACATTTCCCAGCTACAATTTTCAATTTTCTATTAAATTTAAAACAATTTAGCAGAGAGCATACAATCTGAAAAATAAATGCTTCCATAGCCTTTCAGGTTTGTTTGTGATGACCAACAACAGCAATATTCCAGCTTTGGAAATGCTTCTGTGCTGCTCCTGCACATACTGAGAGGTCTCGCACACTTGAACCAACCTCATCATAGATTTCCACCCAACCATGGACTGAGGACCCATTTCAGCTCCTGGGCCTTGAATTCCTGCCCAAATGTGCTGCAATCACGTCCATTTCCAGTCCTGTCCCTGCATGGACCTCAGGACTACTCTGTTGGTAGTTTTGCTGCAGATCCTGGATGGACTCCTTGGATGTACATTAAAGCTTTATTTCCCATCTTGTATTCCTCCTGTTGACCAGACCCCTTGGACAGACACTGGACCTGATTTATCACCTGACCTTGTCACTTGCCCTGTTATAAGCACTGGTCAGCCACTGTGATCAAATGCTGTGGGAGAGGACACTGGTCAGTGCAGACATAACACTGCTAGTGGTGCGGTCACCTGTGGCTCTCAGCTTATCCCCTTCAGGGAACAAGCCTGCTACTGCTGCTCCCTGACATGCACTTCACTGCCTCTTCTTCTCCATCTTGGGCTGGTCTGTGCTTTGGAGGGTTCATTTCATGCCCACTGATGTTTTGATGCTAGCTTAGTTTCAATATTAAAATGGGTACCATTTCAGCACCGGATTGCAAAACTGTAGTCCTGCCTTTTCAGATAGCAGTGTAAAACTGTTGTCACTAAACAGTACCAAGTGTTACGAAGCAATGCTACCTTATCACAGGAAATCCCTACGTAAAATGATGTCGAGTTTTCTGTAGAAAAATACAGAAGTTCCTATTGTGGGTCATCACAATACAGGAAAAAACAACCAAACGTGACTCCCAAATCCTATAACGCATTATGTCACTGGGACATATACATCCTATATTGTATGTAGCAATTTCAGAGAAACAGAAAATCTCTTAATGACTACAGTATATGTCAAAACACTTGATTCTTTATTGTGGAAGGAACTAGTCCAAAGAATTATATTATAAGAATTATTATTTAAAAAGCATGCACATTTTGCATCACTGTAAATAACAAGAAGCATTAGAAAAGCTAGTGAGGAGGGATAAATACTTATTACTCATTCTCCAAACTCGAGTTTTTGGGGATCCTATAGAAAAGAAGCTGAGAGTGAGCTCTCTAACCATACCAATGCATGTCCTCCCACTTGGTCCCAAACGGAGGCCAGCTGATGGACAAAGACAGTGTACCTCCTCTTTGACTTCCTCACAACCATACTGGCAATTCGCAATGGCACAGGTCCTAGAGCCTGAAAACAGTTTTTAAAATAACAAAAAGAGCAAAAATCTAGGCTGGTAACACATACTTCATTATTAATTTAGATCTGAATGAGTGTAGAAAAATAATTAGGACAACAAAATCTCATTCATTATTAGTCAAATTGTCTATACATTAACATATTAATAATACAATTCATGAGATAGATCTTTTGTCCCCTCTCCCCTTCATTTTGTTGTTTTCCTGTCTGCTCAAATTCCTCATTTTTTCTCCATTATCCGTTCTGATTTGCTATTATCTTTTAAATACAGACAAAACTGCTCAAACTAGAAAAAAGGCTTTTTAAATTTTCCATCACTTCAGCTTTTTATCATGCAGTACAGTAGAGAAATGTTTTCATTTCTTAACATTTAACATGCTTTTATACAGACCTTGATTCCTAAAATTACTTAAAAATTACTTAGCCTGATGGACTTTGAAAGTGCAATTTATTTTGATCCTTTACAGAACAGATACTTGAATCTAAAGAGGCACTAGTCAGTACATAAGTCTTGTTTGTCCAGGATTGGCTAGAAGTGTGAATTACTGGAAATTATTTTGATCAGCCTTTAAACAGAAAAATGTGTTTAGATCTCGTCTGAGAGCGCGTTATGAGAGGCTAGAAAAGCAGACTAAATGTAGTAGGTATATAAGAAGTTAAGTCTAAAATCCTGAAAATATCCTGCATGCATTAGTACTACGATGCCAGGAAGACAAGCAGCATTTGGAAGTGTTTACTAGAAGAGTTGGAGGTGTATGCTAAGGTATTTTTTTCTACTACATCACTTTTACTGCATTCAGGGAAACACAGCTTTATATAGGTTCTTTCTAACTGGGAGATCTGGAGTAGTTGCGAAGTAATCTGAGACAAAACCAACTGCCAGACTGGCGCATCACTTAAGTGGAAAAAGATAATTTTATTTTAAAATGCAACTTGTTCATTGGTGGAAGCACAAGAAGGTTCAAAATGTGTGCAATGAAGTGCATAGAAAAGCCACTGATGTGTGCAGGTGAACCTATAGCTACTGCCATATAGTATTAATAGAATGCATACACTAAATTGATGCTAAATTATTTTTCTTAAGCTGGTTTGCTTAGGCTCTGTGCGTAAGAGATAAAATTGACAATATTTGAAAAAGGGTTTTATTTTAGTATTGATGAAGATAGTAGCAGTAGGTAAGATTAAAAAACATGGATATACTTTTGTCACAGTTATCTACCTCCTAAGTGACAATAAAGAAACTTACTAAGTATCCTTCTTTAATTGGTCATTCTGATTTCTTCCTCTTTTGTTTGAAGGTCCTATTGTTTGCCAAGTTAAGACAAGAGTATTAGCTTAGACAAATTACTGCTATGATTTAGCACAGTAATTCCTGTAGAATTCAGATGATTTTGTGTTAGGCACTAACCTACTCTCTGCATGAGGAAGTGGCTCCCTGTAGTCAAAACCCAAACACTTCTGATACCCTTCTACATCTGGTTCCACAGTACTTGGTATGGTTCCCCCATCAGCCTGAATGCTCAGACTAAGTGTACTTCTGTTAAGGAGATTAACATCATGGAGACTTTGATTTAAAAGGAACAACATTTGCTCAAAATGTTTGCCTGAATAAAATTATAGTAAATAAAATCATAATAAAAATTATTAATAATATAATAATAAAAAGTAAGTTAGCTAGTTGAGTAGTGAGTTAAACCAGCATTTCATAAGAGTAAAATCTTAAGTTCACATCAAGTGAGATGGGAGTCAAGTAGAGTTAAGCAAGAATAACTTCTAGTTGAATAAACAGTTTATTATTTCATTTCATATTCATAGTTTCTGCTTTAAAAAAAATACAAAATCTCTTTGGAAGTGGAAGATGGATTAAATTAAAGAAGCTCAGGATGGATGAACACACAGGTCTTTGTCTCCTCAATTATGTTTGTCTCCTTAAGTCATGAAGACTTCTTGTCCACTGAAAAATCACTTTTTTCCCCTGAAATTTAGTTTCGTTCTGTATCAGTATTTGTCAGGTTCCACTGTTCTGTTTGGAAAATAATGTTTATGTGCCAAAATGAAATACAAGCTTCTGGGCTCACAGCTGTTCAGGCAGTTTTTTCATATATACTCTGAACTGGACACCGTTGGTGAGAAATTCAGTGTTTTGTACTGGCTTAAGTAAGAGACAGCGTATCTCTGATTTCTGTACAAATTTGGTACAAACATGGCTTCCTAAATCATGAAACCCATCCAGAACTAAGACTTAAAACTAATTCAGCAAAAATGTCTAGTTACAATCTGGATCTAGTTTTCTGACTTGGTTCAGTCAAGCAGCTGTACAGAGCATTCATGCTCAGAGTAGTGAAACTGAGAAATGGATGGCACAAAATAAGATCAAGTACCCTCTGGGTTCAAAGGGAAGTGGGCTCAAAGGATAGGTTGCTTTTGACAGTACTTCCAGCTTCTGAAGTTCAGCTGTCCATAATACAGTGACCTTGCTGAAAACAGCTCACTATATGATGCCAGCAAATACACAGATTATCTTGGAAGAAACAGAAGAAATATATATATCCATTTCTTAGAGATCTCAAAGAATCCACAGCAGCTGTCTGCTGGTAAGATGCACCAATCACTGCAGGGAAGGGGAAGCCTCCAAAAGCTCTGGCCCCAGACACATTCTGCTGCAGTTTCAGTCTTCCTGCCATAACAAAGACAGAAACCAGGAGATCTTACTTTTCTGTCTGCCCCAGACCTGCAGGACCCTGCAGTCCTGCTTTCACCAAGGCTGCATATTTTTCTAATTATCTCAAGATTGACAGCAAATTCACCAGACGGACACTCTGTCTGGTGAATAGCTGTCTACAAAGTTTGGAGATTAAATCTTTTCAGAGTTTAGGGTTGTCTCTCTTATCCACAGGAATGACTGTGCAACACCTGATGCAGTAAGGTTCATTGGTTGAGGACAGATCTCTAAAACAGGTTATTCAGTTGCTGAGATCAACTTGCTTTCTTGTCTCACTGATGTATCTGCTTCAGTCCAACAGACTCTAAAAAGGCCCCTGTGCTACCTTGAGTTTTGTGAAATTCAAAGCAAAACTACCTGTATGGAGTGGTTTTGCTAAGGTGGAAAAAGAAAGTATTGTTCAGAAACAAAACAGTATCACTGAAAAATAAGAAGTCTGAAAATTAGGCTAGCTGACAATGCAGAATACTTGTTCAGCCACAAAGACAATAGGCAGAAATTCAGTTCAGATAAGACTTAGCACAGCAGACAAATGTTAGCAAGAAGCCAGCAGCAACTGTGGGAAGCATATCAGCACTCATAGAAAATAAATTATTCAGGGCATGCAGAAATTTAAAACAAAGAGTAACAGCATGAAGTTCAGCACAGTAAACTATACTCAGTATTGATGCACTGTTTGGATTGCTTCATTCATTCATTCAATAGATGAAACAGCAAGGCTGTGAACCAAGCTTATGTAATGACTTTCATTTGAGCTAGCACTATCAAATATTTTTACTTCTAAAAGGACAAAAATTCCTCTGGATCCCAGAAATACAGTTACGACCTAATTTACTTGGTCAAACTGAAAGCCTCTGTCAGCTGCTTACATTATCAAAATTGCTGAGGCAAAAATCCCATCCTAAATGAGCAAAATCCTTTTATCACAAAATGAAATTTTGCTGGAGTCCAATGTGATTAGGTGATCTTGGTGTGCCTATCCTGTCTGCTCTGTTACTTACTTGCACATGTGCCATCTGGCATGAGCATGTACCCGTTCAGACAATAGCACTTGTAGCTGCCATGTGTATTCATGCATCTGTGTTCACAGGGACGTGGTTTCAGTCCACATTCATTCAGATCTGCAGAAGACATTGAAATCAAGTGAGTGTTGAGTATGTATAAGTTTATATTAATGTGTATAGGCTTATAATATTGCTTAATGCCTTTAATTCCCCACAGTAAAAGAGCCTAGATTGAGAATGAGCCAGCCCCTTGCAAAATGAGAATGTAGCAAACCATCTGCCTGGAAGAATGCTTGGAAAACTATCACATATAGACTTCTGCGCATAAACTTCTACACCTGAAAAACTAATGCAACTCTGGCCACATCTGGCAGCCCATTAGAAAGAGGTGAAACGGTCAGGAGAAAGGCAGTTGCTATGTTTTCTGGGAGTTATTCTGCCAGGCTTCTCTGATTCTAGCTGGAGATTTTTGCTCTCCAGATGACCTCTGTACTAGAAGAGCTAAAACATTAGACTAAGAACTGCAAATCAGCTTCAGATAAAGTGAAACAAAGAAACAAAGATTTCCTTTTTTTTCCCCTGAGTGCATGTGTCGGCACCAAGGTTTTCGGGGCAGGGATGTATAGTCAAGACGAAACTCAGTACATAAAAAGAATCACATTATGTTAAGAATAAAAGTACAAGAAATCTCAGTTTCTCAAAATCCAGAGAACAAAAGCATCCCGACAGCTTTTCACAATCTGCAATTTAAAAGATTCTGCAAGAAGCTAAGTTGATTTCAAACTCCCATTGTTATCTTTCACAGGGAGAAAACCAGAATCCCACCAAGTTCAATTTACGTGCTGTCAGTGCCACTGGTCCTAGAACAAAGGAACAACATCTGTACTTGTGATTTCTGTGAACTGACACATTTGTCTCTAATATTTTGACACATGGTTTGCAACCAGACAGAACTTATAGCAGAACACATCAGCATATACAGCTTATTCAGCAGGCACTTAACAGCACAAATGACCAACCGTGTAACTTCAATAGAGATGCTATTCTCCAAGCACTGAGACTGTGCAGCTCCAGATCTAATAGGAGAAGCAGCTGTTCTCACATATATGCACCCTACAGATCAGAGAAAATGAACTCCAGACCACTCATAAACTTTGTGATACCTATATATGCACAGAACTATTTGTTACAGCTTAGATCAGGGGAGAAAAAGAGCAGTGTACTGTTTTTTAAACATAGGGTCTGTTTGAAAAACAACAATCTATCAGCTTGGAAATCACATTGGACTTCTGATGTTACTTTAGTTCCACTAACAAACCAAGACCTCATAACAAAAAAACCAGAAGGGAATAGAAGTTATTCCACTTCAACCACACATTTTCAAAAGTGCTTAGCTGCACCTGTGTTGCACAGTGCACAGTAAAGTAGAGGTAGTGTGCACAGCCCTAAAAGAGAAACTGAGATAAGGTAATTTTAGCTCAGACTCAGAGGCAGACTAATAGAGGTCCCTATCTCTTATTTAAGTTAGTTCATAATGAACTTGTTCAATGGGACACTGCACTGTAAGGACAGACCAAGGCTACATTTGCCTGTACACTGAGTGTCTCTGAGTATTCCTGGCTACTGGGACACAAACACCTCTGAGGTTTGCAACAAGTGAAACAGCTCTGAGGCATTTCTAGCCTCCACTTTCCTAAAAATTTCCTGGCCATGAAGATAGGACAGTCCAGGGAAATAACAGGCAATTTGCACGTGTAGGTGTATACATTACTTCCACAAAGTTTCAGTCTCTGAACCTACTGCAAGTGAAGTAGTACTGCAAGTGCAGTTGATGCAATAGAAGGGAGGGGAAGCCATCCAGAGGGACCTGAACACGCCTGAGAAATATGCACACAGTAATCTAATGAAGTTTAAGATGACCAAGTGCAAGGTGTTGTAGCTGGGTTGTGGCAACCCCCACAGAAATACAGACTGGGACAAGAACTCAGTGAGAGTAGCCTTGCAGAGAAGGACTTGGGGGTACTGATAGGTGAAAAGCAGGACATGAGCCAGCAGTGCGCTCTTGCAGCCTGGAAGGCCAACACTGTCCTGGACTGCAACAAAAGAGAGGTGGCAGCAGGGAGCAGGAGGGGATCGTACCCCTCTGCTCTGCCATTGTGAGAACCCATCTGCAGAACTCTGTCTACATCTGGGGCCCCCAAAACAGAAAAGATGAAAAGCTTTTGGAACAAGCCCAGAAGAGGGCCATGAAGATGCTCAGAAAGCTGGAGCACCTCTCCTATGAAGAAAGGTTGAGTGAGATGGGCTTGTTCAGCCTGGAGAAGAGAAGGCTCTGGGGAGACCTCACTGTGGCCTTCCAGTACTTGAGGAGAGCTTATAAACAGGAAGGGGGCTGACTTTTTACATGTTCTGATAGTGACAGGACAAGGGGAATACCTTAAAATTAAAAGAGGGTAATTTAGGTTAGATTTTAAGCACCTGCAGGTGCTTAGGAAGGCAGCATGCATAGACCCCATCTGTTTCTGGTCTTTATGCCATGCTTCACTCATCAGCAGCGCAGTAGAATGGCCTCTCCATCCACAGTGACTCACTCTTTTCATCTGATCACAATCACGGGTTTCAAATATTCCAACAGTAACAACAAAGCAGCAGAGTTGTCACCAATATGGCATCTGAAATTTGACTGAGAAATAACACATCTAGCATATAATTGCACGTTTTTTCTGAGGAAGTTAGTTAAGAAAATAGCATGGCTTCTGGATTTGACTTTCAGTTCTTCTTGTTTTCTGTATCATCTCTCGATGCCTTAGTCCTCTGAGACAGTTTGCCCTTATTACCAGCCTGAAGGTTCAAACTCCTGTTTGCTGAAGGAGGCTTAGAGCTTGCATCTCCAGCACCCCTCTTGAGGTAAGAGCCTCAAACTAGTCTAAACTCTGCTATATAAATAAGAAAAGGTCTCATTTTAAAAGTTCAGAAAGTGACAATCCGTATTTTAAAAAAAAAAAAAAGAGGACAGAAAATTATCAGTCTGTTTTCCGGAGTAAAATCCCCATGTGCACAAACCTTGATTACAGGTTTTTCCTGTAAATCCAGGGAAACATTTGCATTTGTTTGGTCCCATGCATTCGCCATACTTGCAGCCATGTCCACAGATAGCTGAGGGGATCAGGCAGAGAAAGGAGAGAAAAAGAAAAAATTAGAAATATTCTACTTGAGAACTCCTCCTCTGCTTAATTGTCCAGACATTTATAATGGAAATTCAGCATCCTCCAGACCTCTCCCTCTAGTTTGGACATCATAGCTTCCGATCAATGCTTTATTTCAGTTGGAGAACAGGGATGCTGGCACAGCTTGCCTGAGTGAATTTTCTCAGTTCGTAAATACCTGGAAAAGAAGGGGCTCCTTTTAGCACCCTCTCCAATGCTCCTTTCTGCCATACTTCTGATGCACATTTTCATACTTTGTACATACTCTGCTCTTTTCCCATTTCCTATTTTGGGAAGTCACCTGTGGGAAGCAGCTAGCCAGGAGCTCCATTTGCTCCATTTGGCTGCTGGAGCAGGCAAGAGGCAGGAGCAGTCTCCTGCAGCCAGAAAATCAGTCAATTGATGCTAGAGTGGCTCTGGGATCTCCTCACTTACATCTGAGAACATGTCTATCCCACAGAGGAATATCCAGAGCACATCTGTCAAATGATCAAACACCTGTCCTTACCACACATACCAATATTCACAATTTCATCAAGTTTGTATGAGAGGGCTGGGCTTACTCTGGATGTGTTAAAGAGCAAAAATTTTCTCAGCCTCATGATCAGCCAGAAATTAAATGCTGGTTTTTGTAAGGCTTAAGGCTAGACTTTCTAAAGTCAATGTAATGATCAAAATGAGTGTTCTTTAGGAAAAGCAATCCAATGTATTTAAATCAGCACGAGCTCTAGCAAAAATCAGCAAACAAGTATGCACCAGGTTGTGCATCCTGCCACTTTCTGTAATTACTCTGCTAGCTGAAATATAGGAAACAGTAAAATCACAATGTAAGTTGCTGTATAGATAAAATTCACAATTCATAATTCAAACCCACAAAATTCATCTTGCTTAATTCAAGCACCTTCCCTACATTTAAAGGTTCATTCACAAGTACTGAAGCACTATGTCTGAAGGATAGACATATTTTGACATCGTCCCTGGAAAACAAATGTGGATCAGTTGAATATTTGGCTCTGAATCAGAGAACAACATTATGTTTTGATTTACAGTGCAGGAGTACACTACAGCTTTTCAAAGAAATCTGACAAAGAATCACCTTAAAAACTTACGAAATCTGGATTCTAGTACGAAAGTAACTTATTGCTTTAAAACAGAACAGCTTACTCCACTGGCTCCTCAAAGTTACATTTGCGAGTTGTCCCTCCATTGATTCAATTGCACCAAACCTAAGCTGCTATTAAACAATACGGTAACATTAATAAGTGCATCTGTCACATTTTTTTATCAACTGACATACTATACAGAGAAGAGACTTCGGGACACCTTTCCCTTTAAAACATCAGGATGTTGATTTTTAGCAGTGACTAATTCTAAGCCTATGTTCAAAATCACTAGATATATAACGTCAAACTGGTGCAAAGATGCAACATCTGAGATTCCTCCAACACGTATTTTAAGATTTTTTTGTGTTTTGCTTAAGTAGAGCTAGGAGAGTCCACATTAACTTCCTCTTGGGACTTGTAACAGGTTAGAAAAGTCTACTCATTGCCTCTCCATTAAGCCAACAATCCACGGATCAGAACACTGGTTGCCTACCCAAGATCAAATCAGATGCACCTACTGCTTAGGTAACATTTATATTTCCAGAAAGTTAAGCTTCCTGGTTCTCAGAGGCTGTGTACTTCTGAAGAAAAAAGGGAATCAATTGATTTCACGCATCCATATGTAGCACCAGAAGATGTTGCATGTTTAGCATTTATTTGACAGCTGTAATAGCAGAGGCATTGAATGTTTCCAATCTCTCAGTCTGAGTATGCAGGAGGTTAGAACAGATGGTCCCTTCTGGACTTAAGAATTTTTGAATCTATATGTTACTGCCTGGTGCCATTTACCTAAAGCTCTGCTTTTTTAAGGAGAGAAAATCTCAAACACATTTTTTTCACTCTGCCAAATAATCAACACATTCAATCCCACACAAGCTTTCCTCCTCTGACTTCTGGAAGCCCTACATGAAACCCCTTTATTAATACTAAGTACACAGCCATGGAGAAGAAACAAGCATAAAGTGCTCATATTACCTTCACAATGGCCCTTGTTGTTCTTTTTCCAGCCATAACAGCAATCCAGCCTAGAACCATAGCGACACACTCCTGGCTGGCTCACGGTCACCAGCTGCCCACGAGCTCTTGAGCTGCATGAGGAAGGATAAAGATGAGTTCCAGCAGGCAAATACACTTTAGTCCATCCTGCCCTACAGTCCTTTGTGCATTTCCCTAGTGTTTTATCCATTGTCAGGCATTTTCATCTCACCAAACCTTGGAGCATTTAATAGCATTTCTTGACAAGATGGTGAAATTGCACTCAGTTGGAGAAAGGGGCAAACGGAGCACCTCACCTGCAATAAATCAGCTGCACAACATAAATCTCTTCTAATGAGAAACATGGCAAAGGCAAAAAAGTAGGCCCAGGTCCCCTGCTAGAATGAATCTTTTTTAATCTCAGTGAAGTCAGCGGGGCTATTCCAGCTTGCATCAGAAGGATCAATGATGCTGTTTTGCTCCAGATGACAAACTACTGATTCTACAGAAAAGCACCTTCCCAAACATCCAGTCAGCCCCGTAAATTCAGTGCCCTGCAGGCTCACAGCCAATGCATATGTGCTCCTTGAATACAGAAACGCAGAGAGCACTGTGTGCTCTGGCTGCACACAACTCCTTGCCCATACAGCCATTTTAGTCATTCAGTACTTCAGTGTGGCCCAAAATTGCTCTTCAGATCAAGTGCTGCAATGTTAGCTTGTCAAAATTATAAGTCTGATGGAAATATGCAGCAGCCTAAGGTGTAATCTATGCTGCAAGGTGTGTGATGATCCCAGTTTTCTTATCTCCCTGGTCGCTGATGCTTAACTTGTCCATACCACATGCATGTCCCCCTTATAAAATTCTCTTCTTTAACCCAAATCCTCTATCTCTGTTGCTTTTTCCAGGCAGTAACTCAAAATGTACTTTCTTCAGAGTCCAAAGTGCTGTTTCTGACACAGTAAATACCTTCTCTGTGAGGGTTTTGCATCAAGTGATTTGGGGGTGCTGAGAGGGCAATATATAGCAACACCATCTCCCACAGTAAACAAAAAATCAACAATCCAGGAATTTTTGCATTTTTTTTTTTAATCTAATGCACAGTGATGGTATTGCTGGTGATAACACCTAACAGCAGAACTTCACACATATCTTCCTGCACTTATCTGTAAGAGTTGCACTCTTATTGGGAGAGTTACTGCAAACAGCATTAATGCAAACTATTAAAAATAGTGAACATATACACACACTTCAAGCCACACAGCCTTCACGATTAGCCCCATGGTTACATGACTACCTATAACCCATTTTGAGGCAGGAGAAAAGGTGTATGTAAAAGCTACAACTCCTCTAGATATACTGACAGTAAAAGAATCCTTTTTCTTTTTATTCGTCCAAACGCTGCTGGCTTACATCATTTGTGAGTATGCAAGTTAACTATCATGTTCTGCTTACAGGCTAGAAAGCTCCCCTGAACTTTATCTGTAATAGTAAAAGTGTTCTGCTTTCATTCCCAAGCCACCTCTGAATTCAAGTGGATAGTGCTTTTACTCCTCTGGAAGGTTAAACTGCCTGAAGCATGGAGGAAATTGAATCTTATTACTTTCCAGAAGATGCTCATTTCCACAGGAAGACAGACTCACTCAGGAACTTTTTATTTAATGATTCAGTTCAGAAGCAGATAAATAAAAACGCCTTTACAAAGTATATAATATCCACAGAACTTCAGTATGAACTTCTGTTAAAACTGGGAAATCTTCCATAATACTGCAAATAAAAAAAATGCAGCTGAACTTTATTAGATACTGCTCTGGACAAGGCCTTTGACTTGCTCCGACTTCCACAAAAAGCACCAAGTTAAAGCCAGCCTTTGGCAGTGGGAAAGGTAAACTGAATCACCCAGATCTCAAAAATCTGTGAGCAAAAACAGTTTTGCCAAGTTAGCCCATCCATAAAAAAATATCACTCATCAGTTCAGCTATTGCTGTCAGGAGTTCAGCATTTTGTACAAATCAAAGAAATAGATCCTGGTAGCGAGAACATCACTTTGAGTTTTCCAGACATCGCTGGGAGAAGTAATACAAACCAGAGATGTCCGATCCCTTCCTAAGTGATATTTCTGTATGATTTCATAAGGAGCACTGAGAGGTCTAAATGAGATAGCTGTGCTTGGCACTGTCCACTTGATGTAAGAACAATGCCTGGCCTTGAATAACTTGCAGTTTAAATATGTGAGTGAAGACAAATTGTACAGATCATCTGGCAAAATCAGTCTCCACATCTCTGCTGAAGTATTCTGTCCTCAGACTCAGTAATGTACAGCACTGGGACAATTTGGCCATACAGAAGGCCAAAACTGCAGCAAACTGGTATTATGGGACTGTGACTTTGCTGACACTAGTAAGATGGCATCTAGTAAAGTACATTCAAGATGGATTATAAGAACTTTTACAGTTAGGGCCTCACTAGTTGAGGTGACAGAAAAGGAGCTGGCCATTTTGTCTAGCAGAATATCACTGTGAGCCACTAGCACAGCTCTAAGAAGAGAGATGGGAATCTTAGGTATATCAGATGACATTCCAGTAGCGATAGAAAAGTTTAACTGCTGCTTTATCAGGTTATATTATGTATACTTCTTTACATTCATGTCCAAGAAATGTGAGTTACATATGGTGTGCATGGTGATAAAAGCTACAAAGAATGAAAACTTCAGAGGAGATAAGAAGAACTTGGCTTCAGTTGAACATTCCAAAAGCTTAGACAGGATCTGACAGCTTCCTTCCAAGCATTGAGCATTGTGTGCCTGGAGGTGCTCAAGAAACATGTAGATGCGGCACTGAGGGACATGGTTTGTGAGGCTGAGTTGGGTTGGACTTCATGATCTTGGAGATTTTTTCCAACCTATGATTCTGTGGTTCAGAAAGTTTATTTGCTCCACAGATCAGGATGCAAACAGCAACTCTGATCTAGTAACAGCAGACAAGGAAAAGGCTGAGGTACTCAGTAACTTTTTTGCTTCAGTCTTCACTAGCAAATAGGGTTGTGAAGAAACAGGTTTCCCAGAGAGGTGGTGGATGTCTGGTCCCTGGAGACATTCAAGGTCAGGCTGGATGGGGCTCTGAGCACCGTGATCCAGCTCTAGAGAGAGCTAGCTCCTTCTGCACTGCAGGGAGTTGTACCAGATAACCTTTGGTGGTCCCTTCTAACACCAGCCATTCCATGATTCTGTGATTCTAACGTCAGTTGATCTGGATTAGTTGATACACTGGGACTAATATCCTCAATATTGTGGTGAGACACTGGAACAGGTTGCCCAGAGAGGTTGTGAATGCCCTCTCCCTGGAAGAATTCAAGGCCAGGCTGGATGGGGCTTTGAGCAACCTGGTCTAGTGGGAGGTGTCCCTGCCTATAGCAGGGGGTTGGAATTAGGTGATTTTAAAGGTCCCTTCCAATCCAAAACATTCTATTATTCTATGATAGTAACTGGGCTAATAGCTGTGTTGGACTCTAATTCTCATTAGCAGCTATTATAATAATAACAATTAAAGTAAATGGAAGTAAAAATCTCAAAAATGGAAAAAGTTTCTTGTCATGTTTTCCTGACCAGCATTAATGAGGGATCTATTCCATCTGAACAAAATTATATGGCAGCAACAGCTGCAGATGAAAAGAGAGCAAGTCTTTAAAACACTGATATAACAGTCAGTTGTGGTTTGAGCTAAAATAGAGTTGTTTGTTTTCAGCCATTATTAATCTTGTCTTTTACTAACATTTTCTGTGGAGAGGAACATTTATGAGCTTTTACTTTTTTTTTTTTTTTTTTCTCTCCAAGACATCTGCTGAATAGATTTAGTGTACTATTTCCATAAGATCTCTACAGGATACTTTTTTCCAGCTCTTGCACACACAATAGTTGCCCACTGTTGATGGGAAAAAAAGTCTGTTATATTATTAGCAGTTTCCAGTTAACTTTAAAGACAGGATATTACCCATTTCTTTAATTTTGCTTCTAAAAGACTCTGAATATTGCTGCTAGCGAACAATTAGCATCAAACCTAACATTTTGACCAGTAAGTTTATTCAGGACCAAAAGATGTTCTCCTACAAGTTAGGAATTTGTAAAAAATTCTTAAAAACTCTCTTATGAGTTCACATCATACATTCTGCCAGATGACAGAACATTTTGTTTGCTTGTTTTGTTTGTTTTTATTATTTTTTTTTTGAAGGGTGACTTCCTTCTAGAATAAAAAGTTTCCCTACAGTTTCTTTTTTTAAGTAAAACTAAAATGCACCCTATTATCTTTTAATGGCTACCTTTGAAATCCCTTTGGGCAGTTTCAGGCACTCCACATGACATTTCTGGGAGTCCCTCCCAAAGTATAAAAAAAATAACAAACGCTCAGCTTAGGCTCACAGAAGTTCCTGTAAGTCTTCATGTGATCACCACATTCCTTAAAGGCAGTGCTCAAAGCAGGAAAGTGAATACTCCAGATGTGAAAGGCACTCTTCTAAGAAACAGAAATAAGCATAATTAATTCATTTTTTTCCAAACCGATTCTAATTTCTACTATTTCCTGTTCCTTCTTCCTAGCTATTCAGAGTGAATATAATTTCTTTGTTCACTTATATTAGAATCTTCTGTCATCCAAGACTTCTATCAAGATGTTTCAAATGCTCTCTCTTTCCCCTTCCTTCCAGTACAAAAAGGGGAATGATGGTCTTAGTAGAAGATGCAGGTATCTGCCCAGAGAAGTTGCAAAGTTTCCTGTTCTGGATATACGCAAGATCTGATGCTTTTTCCTTCGTGATAGACAGTAAGGAACAAGCTTTAGCAGGGAGCTGGACTTGATGATCTCCAGAAGTCCCTTCCAACTCTTTCAGTTTCGTGATTCTGTGATCACACAGCACCACCGTGGCCAAAACAGGCTGTGCAGCAAACTTACGCAGGGTTTCCTGTAGGATTTTCCAACTTAGTGTGAAAAGCTTATGTTTTCTTACAACAGAAGACACAGCATTTGTTTTACAGTTCTACATATTCCAGTATGTTTGAAATGCAAATACACAACATCTCGAGAAATAATCAATGTGAACATTTGAGAGTTTTCACCGTAAGGAGCAAACGTACTTTCTACAGAAGCAGGTTTGGAATTCCTGAAGAGTGGACAACTTGCTGGCCTCAAAGATGCTAGAACAGCACATTTCCGCTTGATTATAAACCTCGATGCTAAGCAAAGAAGCCACACAGCATCCTGAAGACTGCTGCTGTAGTTGCTGTCAATCCTCCTCTTACTGGCTGCTTATTCGCTGTTGTATTTGTGGGTTTTTGTTTGGTTTATCTACACTGCAAGGTGAAAGTTTGGAACAGCTTCATCAGGAGTAGAGTTTTATATACCCCTTCTCACCGAACCACAGAACCATAGCAAATCCCGAGTTGGAAGGGACCCACAAGGACCACTGAGTCCAACCCGTGGCTCCACACGGCACTAACCAAAATCAAACCCTGTGTCTGAGAGCGTTAACTCCATCACTGGTAGCCGTGCCCACTGCCCTGGGCAGGCCGTTCCCCGCCCACCGCCCTGTGGTGCAGACCCTTTCCCTGACCCCCAGCTGCCCCTCCCCTGTCGCAGCTCCATGCCGAAATGCTATTCTAGTTCTGGCGCGTACCTGTCACCGCGGGATACAACAAACACCTGCCCTGTCAGCCTTGTCAAGTACCTACTTACACAAGCAAAGCAAAGACTTCAACAGCTCACACCTTTCTACACTTGGTGTCATAGTCTCTATCCTCAAGAGTGTCTTGAAACTATCGCTATCGCTTCTCCCGAAGGAAGAGACACAGCTTTGATGTCACCGTGCCTTCACCGTGCCCGGAGCTCCCGATCCGACCTCCGCGGGGTCGCCAGCTCCTCGCCGAGCCCCTTCCGCCCCCGCACCCCGCGCCGGCCGGTCACCCGTCCCCGCTCACCTGCCCGCGGCGGCCAGCGCTGCGGCGAGGAAGGCGGCGAGCAGGGTTCCCCCGGGCGCCGGCACCATGGCCCGGCCGCGGCCGGTGAGGCGGCAGACGCGGCGGGCGAAGGCTCTGCTAGCGGGAAGGCGGCGGGCGGCGAGCCGGAGCCGATCAACCTGGCGTGGAGGGGCGGGCCCGCCTCCGCTTTGGCGCGGCCCACACGGCCCGGGACGGGGCGGGCGGCGACCCCCGGGCGGGACGAGGGGAGCCGGGGGAAGGAGGAGGCCGGGGAGCGGCCCCGGGACGGGCGCGGAGCTGCGGGCGTGTGCCTTCGGTTAAATCCTTCCAACCCGTGTGTTCCCTAGGATAATCCTTGTATTTGCAGGGGGGTGGGGTTTAGATGAGAAAAAAGATTTTTTTTTTTTCCCCCCCCCCCCATATTAATAGTATCCCTCGATGTTTTCCTTGTACTATAAAAGCATTCAGCAGGAGGAGATGTTTTTTGTGATAGCAGCGTTCACACTAATCTACTTGCTAAACACTTTCTGACGGTCAAGAATATTGTGTCAAAATATCGTGTCATTGAAGACCTGGAGTGTGTCTACAGAAGGGTGACAGAGTTGTGAGGGGTCTGCAGCACAAGTCTTATAGCGAGTGGCTAAGGAAACTGAGATTGTTCAGTCTGGATAAGAGGAGACTCAGGGGAGCCCTTATCACTCTCTAAGGCTCCATGAAAGGAGACTGTGGTGAGCCGGGGGTAAGCCTTTTCTCCCAAGTAGCAGTGTTAGGATGAGAGGGAATGGCCTCAAGTTACACCAGGGGAGGTTCAATTTGGATATTAGGAAAACTTTATTCCCTGAGAGAGTGGTGAGGCACAAGCTGCCCAGAGACGTGGTAGTCTCACCATCCATGGGGTTTTCAAGAAATGAGTAGATGTGGCACTGAGGGACATGGTTAGTGGGCATGGTGTTATGGGTTGGTGGTTGAACTAGATATTAGAGATCTTTTCCAACTTTAAAGATTCTATGATTCTGAAGTATTGATGCCAGTCCCAATTTCCAAAAGTACTAAAAACAATTTTCCAAATCCTGAGGTTTGGATAATTGTTCCTTCTGAAAGCAACACCTCAGCAGAGGTAAAGCTGTGGAGTGAGTGACTTATCAGGTATCACCCAGGAAATTGTGACAAATGCAGGGAAACAAAACAGCTCCTCTAGCCTAGTCACGTGGGTTATCCTATTCAGTTCTGAGGATATCAACATGCACTCCTCTGCAGATGAAGCTGGGATGGTTGACACAGTCAGTGCTGCCAGCTGTCTTCTGTCCCAGGGATTACCTGGAATGCTGAAAGAGAGTATTAAAGGGTAGATGTGGTGCCAAGGGACATGTTTTAAAGGGCATGGTGGTGATGGGTGGATGGTCGGACTAGATTATCTTAGTGGTCTTTTCCAACTTTAATAACTGTATGACTTGTAAGCTGACAAAAAAAGGGCTGACAACAGCAGGACTAGGGGAAATGGATCGAAGTTGAAGGAGGGAAGATTTAGGGTGGATGTTAGGGGGAAGTTCTATACAAGGAGAGTGGTTAGGCCCTGGAACGGGCTGCCCAGGGAGGTTGTGGATGCCCCGTCCTTGGATGTGTTTAAGGCCAGGTTGGACAGGATCCTGGGCAACCTGATCTGAATGTGTGTGTTTGGTGGCCCTGCTAGGCAGGGGGGTTGGAACTACATGATCCTTGAGGTCCCTTCCAACCCGGGTGATTCTGTGATTCTGATTCTGTGTAATTTAGTTTTTTAAGCACAAGTCTTTGGCCACCTTTTTCTTCTATCATCCTTACCATGGGATTATCAAGAAAGGGGATAACAACTCTTTGCCAGAATTTTAGTATCTAGAACCTCTTTCTAGAATCATAGAATCATAGAATCCTTAGACTTAAAAGGGACTTTCAAATGTCATCATTTAGTCCAACTCCCCTGCAATGAACAGGGACACCACAGCTAGTCTGTCCAGGGCTTGATCCAGCCTCTCTTTGAAAGTCTCCAGGGACAAGGTATCAATCACATCTCTAGGCAACTTGTTCCAGTGCTTGAATGATCCAAAATGACATTTTCCCATATTGCCCATCCACTACTGGTTTTGAGTGTGTGTCAAACTGTCATCTACCATGGATTTCTTCAGACTCCTGAAAGTATACATGTCCTCCCTGAAGGAATTTAGATCATTTTAGAGAGTGGAGCAGTAGAAAGCTGGAACTACTAAAAGAAGGGATTCAAAATATTTGTAATTAAAAAACAAACAATCCAACACAAAAACAATAAACCCAACAACCAAACAATAATGTATGCTATGCTGATCATATGCTGTAAAGGATGGCCCAGGCATTTCTTCCTCTGGCTGCTGGGCAGAAAATCCACTCTTCAGCTATTCTGCTGACTTTCTGAAACACTGTAGTACCTTCAGACTTCTCTTCATTAGATTTGCCTTCCTGTATTTTAGTTAAATCAGCATTCCAATTCTTACGTCTGTATTCAAAGACACATGGTTTTCATTATGCACATTTATTCCAAATGGATATGAATATGTTGTTTGATGCTGGACTTGCCATTCAAGAATTGTTGGTACTCAAGGCAAGTTTTACTGCTCAGAAGAAAGTTCAGTTATGTACATTATTACTTGTATTCTGTTAAGAGCTATAATTATCTCCTTAACATCTTTCTTTTTCACAAAGAGTGACTTTGGATAGATAATAAAACGATGAACTGAAGCTGTGTTTAGAATAATAATTGCAGAAGAAAATAGAACAATGTATTTCATAAAGAATGTTTTTATTTGCTGGGATATTCATATATAATTGGCACGGGCTGCCCAGGGAGGTGGTGGAGTCACCGTCTCTGGAGGTGTTCAAGAAATGTGTAGATGTGGCCCTGAGGGTCATGATTATTAGGTGTGTGATGGGTTGGTGATTGGACTAGATGAACTTAGAGGCATTTAATGATTCTATGATTTTATGATTCTATGTCTGTATTCTTTAGCCTTTGCAGTCTGCAAGATTCTGAGCTTTCCCAAGATTCACTGTCATGTGGCATTTTGCTGTATGAGAAGTCCTCATCATAGGTCATGATCCATTCCTGAAAAGAGGGAACAGAGTGAAATAGGCCATGGATACTATTCACATTTCAATTCTTTTTGCCTTAATGATTAAAAAATGTACAAGCATCTTTGCCACAGAAGATGTCAAGTCTCCAACTACACTTGCACTTGCTCCTGGCACAGCCTCCACATTCAGCTTCTATTCAGCTGAAGATCCAGAGCTTGCTATAGAGATCACATGTGTATACATATATATATATATATATATATATAAAACTATAATAGCCATTCTGATTATGTATTTTTATAGGTTACTGCTATTTCCATTTGTTTTGCCAAGTAACTTCAGATCAAATCATTGCAGAGTTCTTGTGCAGTGTAATGAATAAACTGAATAGACAGAAGAATAAGAGGAAACCATTCATTTCTTGTTCACGTGTCTTTACAAACACAAAAGTCATGAATGGAATTTCTGAAATGGATTAGAATCATGGCTATGAAATGATTCGCGAATCGGTTTTTTGTTTTGCCTGTTTAAGTCTCAGAAATAATTAGTACTGCTGGAGGCTATCTGGATTATAAAAATTAATATGTGAATGCTGAAATTCTTGTACTCGTTTAACTAAGATCTGAGGCCTTTAGGAAAACAGTAAAAAAACCAGAGATTTATGTGACCTGGTACTGCTGCTTCACTGACATGGTGTGTTTGAGGAAAAGCTGATAGATAGGTAGAGCACAAGTATAAACAAATCTCTGCCGCTAGTAATATTTAGTTGGAACTACTTCAACCTTCTTTTCTGGGTGAAATCATAAAATATCCTCAATAGCGGAGTGTTTGTGCTATTCTGATATTTGATAATGTTTCTTGTGATTGTATGATAGTTAAATTCAGCACAGTAGTTCATGGGGCAACACCTGCTGACTTTTGTGAAGCAGAGGATTTGAATCTATTGGTACAGTCACCATGAATCTCAGATAACCCTAAGAAGGGATCAGTGCATTTAGTTAATTCTGGTTTCTATGAGGGAATCTTTATTTCTGGTCAAAATAGTGGCTGACATAAAAGCTTAGTGTTTAAGAAGTGCTTTGCATTTTGTTATATTTAAATAATTAAAGATCATGCATTCAAGATGGTGGGTGGCCTGATACAACAATAACAATGTACTGTTGAAAAGACATAATTGGGTAGTAGTATACTTTTCTAAACATTTAAGTAAGAGGTTTCACATGTTAGATGTACATACCACAGTATGGATTTCCAAGTGGGGTTAGAAAGGTATTTGGCAGAAGTGGCTGAACTGGAGGATATACATAGATGCATATTTGATGGCTTATGCAAGAGAACCCGAAGAAGAATTCAGTGAAAGCTGAGAAATATTTTGCAAGAGAAGGAAGGGAAGACAGTAAAAATAAAAATGTGCATGGAAACGTCTAGTCAGTGTTTTCTTTTCCCTGGTACAAAAGTTATTCACTGGTTTGGTTGCATTAGGTGTGCTTTTGGAGTACATGTTAACATTTCAGCTAAAACCCATGGAGTCTATTTCACAAGGTTTGTGTGAACCCAAGTATTCTAATTACACTCAATCAGGAGATTTACTTTAAAAGTGCAGTTTTGCTTTAAAGAAAATGCAGACCTCGACACACTGTCTTTGCATTATGCACTATGGACAGTACTGATATATATAACAAATAACTTGGTTTTTGAAGAACATCTTTCCAATGGAACTCCTCAGTTGTTTTTTTAACCTGACTCTCTACCCTTATCTTTTTGTGACTCCTATTATAAACTATTTCCTATTCTCTAGACTTTCATTTTTTTATGCTCAGAAAGTTATCTATCATTGTATTTCTGAAAAACAGAAAACAAATGAAGAAAAAACCCCCAAACCCCAGAACTCCTTACTGATCTCTTTTCCTAAATGAACCATTTTGTGAATTTCCATGTGTGTGGAAATTGTATTTTAGTTCTGGAAAGCCTGTAAATGAACCCTTTAGTC